AGGTATCCGTTAGAATTTCTATTGAAATATATTAATGTAAGATTTTCCGTTGGAATATGATAATATTTCTTTAATGATAGCATATGTAATACATGCTTGATCATATTTTTTCACACTTCACAAATATTAAGAATCCATAATCATTGCTTATTCAGATCACTTATGTTTGCACTTTATATATATAATTTTTTTTATGCAATATAACATATACTCCAATCAACATTTTGAGGGCTTATTCAATTTGAAATGCTTATCCCCTTTCTATCTTGTCCGAAAAAAGTCGAACCCTAGCGCCTTTCTCATCTGTATCGTGTCTTCTTCCTCGGCGGCGGTGGGCGCCGGCCGGTTGTCGCGTTCGACCGCCTCCCCTGCTCTGCAATCCCGGACCTCTGGTGTCGCCGCGGTGTGCTGAAGCATGTTGGTCTGCCCAGCCCTTGTTCGCCGGTGTTGTTGCGATTGGAGGCTGCGGACTCTATGGTCGTATATTGGCCTGCAATTGGTGCGTCTTTTGCCCGTCAATCTCAATTAAAGGTGAGTCTCCCTCCAATTTTGGCAGATGTTCCTGTCTCTGTATATATTGCTGCGAACGAAGGGCCCCTTTGGGCGGTCCCATTTTTTCTGGCGAAGTTTGGGGTTCTTCTCGTTCTGGTGCTGGTGGTATGCGGTGATATTGGCTGGTCTGTGGGTCGAGAGGCGGAGCGGAGCTCTAATGGTGTGTCAGGAGTTGAGGGCCCGAGCCGCCCCCTGTTTCGGCTAGTGGTGTTAGTCGGAGGAGTTCTGGTGTTCCTTAGCTCAGCTAATGGTGTTAGGCGTGCTCGGGGGGTGCTAGAGTGGGGCGGGTTCGGATGTCCCTCCGGTTGAGGCGGGTTGATTTGGAGTTTGGCCTTTGTTCGAGCTCGACTTTTAGTATAGGCCTTGTGTGGGGATAGTAAATAAATGAATTCGTGTACAATTCACGAACCGAAGACTCGAGCGAGCTTAGGATTAAGGGTTTTAACAGTAGGGCAGTTGCAGAAGCCGTCCTCTGGACTTAGACTAATCTTTCATATTGACTGTTCGGTTCGAGCCGGCTGATTTGCCGTTGAAGGGCTTTGTGTTTTTTTTTGGGACTCGTACCGTATTACATTTATCATAATAAATTATTTTTAATATTGAAATTTATATGTTGTTTCAGTAATCGATTTAGTTTGGCCAAACTGACCCATAACTTGGTCACCCGTGATCAAACCTAGTTGTGTCTTGTTTTTGTACTATTTTAAATATCACCTAAAAGTAATTAAACCTGAGTGCTGAGTAAAGTTTTCACAATTAATTTATAACCGACAAGTTTCAACCTCGGGTTGTCTCTAGAAGGAGGGTTGTTTTAAGCTAGCCCCACTTTCTTGTTGTCAAAGCACATAAATGGGAAATAAAAGTCCATGATGTTCTAAGCACGTTTGGGAGTCTGATTTTAAACTAAATTAACCTAAAAAATAAAAACAACAATTAACTAAAGATGCAAACTTTAACTAAAAATGCGAGTTTTGAGTTGTAGTACGGAGTCCTTAATACTCGAGTAAAACCAAAACAAAGAGAAAACAAGCGAAATCTAATAACTAGATTCTAAAGTCGAACTTCCAATTACGAAATAACTGACCTTTCAACAAAGTCTCAATTTCTACCTTGAAAGATTCAAACTTTACTCTACGAATCAGACTAGATAAGCAAAACAAAAGAAATGTTAAAAACTTTAACGAAAACCGAGTCTATCAACAAAATTTCGACCAAGACGCCATATTCACTTTGAACAATTTCATAAGCAAGAATGGACCAAATTCAAAGTAATGAATTCTAAGCAAGGTACTCACTCTACCTTTGCATGCTCCGACCAAATCAACGCGAAAAGCTCAAAATTTTAATTAAAACAGGTAAAGTAGAAAACATGAGTCTTGAAGCTCCCAAGAATGACTTAACACAAAAATAGAGATAAAAAATGAAAAATAACTATTTTCTAAATTAGAAATGAGAGGAGTGAAGGCTTGATTCCCAAAATACAAATAGACTAAATGTATTTACACTCACACTCAAAACACACACCAGGAAAATACACATTTAATAAAGGCACTCACGGGCAATCCAACATTTTCACAGGGTGCGAATTTTTAGCTTGAAAGGCGTGGGATAGATCACAAGCAGGTCGCTGGACGTGTGGGTTGCGTGGCACTAGCGGATCATATGGGCGTGCGGAATGAGCGGCAAGCGTGAGATAGGTGAGGCTTCTTGCCGACGCGAACTGGACAGGCACTCGCAGACATTGGCAAGGTCTCTCGCTTGTGCTGGAAATACACTGGCGTGCTGGACAAGGTTTTCCGCGCGCGCGGGGCGTATGGGGCGATACGCTGCGCGAGCATTTTTACGGCCGCAGTGCGCTGGGCTATCAACGGGCATGTCTGCGCGAACATTTTCGCCAGTTGGGTAAGAATCCTTTCGCCCGCGAATCTCTGCCTCTGCTCGGGGGTTTTGTGCGAATTCACCAGCCCGCGAACTCTAATTTTCCTGGTCTACGAACTCCCTGACATGGCGAGTGGTAACGTTTGTCTAGCGGTCCGAAGTGCTTCGACTCAACACCCAATCCTCCGAACTTCTATATCTCGACCCAAGCTTATCACCTTATCTCTTCTCGTTTTGAATGGCAAAATTCAATTCCACCGCGCATCTTGGACCAAAAACATGAAAGCTCGAGACGGGACAAAATTAAATCAGTTCATTCTTCTTTCCGGACCTACAAAAGAACACTAAGCGCACAAGAAAAAAATTGAAAATGCACAAACAAGACTGGGAAACTAAAAATTACTAGAAGCAAACAAAAATAGTCCGAGGAACACAAATAAGAACCGAATTCATTTACCTGATTGATCCAAATAAATTTCTTCTTGTTTTTTTTTTAAATATATTTATTTTTATGAAACAAAAAATATTTTATAATTTATTTAGTAAATTTTCATAAAAAATGATCATATAATACGATAAAAAATTATATATTTAAAGACAAAGAATTATTTCTTAATTTATGGATATATATGAAAAATAAACGCAATAATTTTAAAAATTGAAAATTAATTTTGCTATTGTCACGATGACGTGATACCAACATGAGCTACTATATAGCACATAATTTTACATAATTTTTGTAGTATGTTATGCATAAGTTATTAAAAATTATAAACGGATTGTTGGGTCACTACTTGATCTAGGTAGAACCGATGGAGAAGAGCTCTGATCCACTGAAGGAGACCTGCAAGAACTCAATGCCGGGAGGTGTTCCCAGCGAAGAACCTCTGATGCTTAAGTCAGCACAAGTAAGAAGATAAAGCTCTGTAATATAGATCTATAATGTATGTAAAGTGTGTAGAATGTGGAAGAGAGGCTTAGGTTTATACCTCAGTCCTCTTTTATAGGGGAAATGCTTGCCCGGACTGCCTGAACTTCCCTCGGTCAGCCTGCCCGAACTGCCCGATGTTTGATCTTATCTATATCCTAATCACTTCTGAGTCATCATCAAATTCCTTCTTATCCATTTATTACCTCAAAGTCATTTTTATGTAGTCATAGTTGTAACACCCAATAGCTATTTTATAGAAAATGGTAATATTTTCTAAGTTATAAAAATTTGAAATACTTTTTCTCGGCAGTTACTCAAAAATCTCTTTCTTTTTCTCTCTTTTATTTTCTTTCTCACTCTTACTCTTACTCTTTCTGAAAATTTCTTACTCTCTTCTTTCTCTTATTTCGACCCAAAGCTAACTAGGGGTCTACAGGGAACTAACTCCCATAATGTATTTAAGACATGCAGAGATCTCGAAGATGAATGCATAATCTTAAATAACAAGTACCAATACAAGATCAAAAAAGAAATGGAATATAAATGCTAAGTCTGCAAAAGTGTTCTGAAAATATACTCAAATAAATAAATTCAATAAAATGAGTAGGTGACCACCACAGGCCGCCCTCCAGTGCCGCCCTCCAGTTGTTAAACCGGAAAATGATGGTTGTAGGGGATGAGCATAACAATCAACGTGCTCATCTTTAGTCTATAAAGTACGGACATTCAAATTAAGCAACGGATACTTTGTAAGCAGATATGATACACAAATAATGGTCTCACATTCTACTAAGGTGCCTCTAAATTTCTCGCAGCCATCTAATAGGCACATTTCATCTCATCTAATCTCATCTTATGTCACGCAGCCCTCTCGGGCGCTAAGCTAGCTTACAACATATCTCACCGCACAAGATCAGTCGTCTAATAGGCGATCACAGTATATGATCAGCCATCTAATATGCGACCAATGCTAGTGTGTGGAAACACAATTCATGCACATAAATACAAACAAAAGTACTCTAGCGATTAATAAGAATGATGTACTAGATAGACTTCCCCACCTGACTTCTCGAATCTGCTAAAAGACGAGTGAGTGCTTCGGTAGGAAACTTGAGGGCTCGACTCCTCGGGATCTACATCAATGAAACATACTCGAATAAATACTCTAACTCTTATCCCAGTAAACTAATTTACCATATTGAAGGATTTTTCAGCTTAAGGTTCACGACTTAATTCTTTCTCTTTCTTAGAAGTTGGAACTCTCGAGTCGGACTCTTCTCAAAATCTCTAAAATTAGGCTCGATAACTTTTAAAATTTCTAAAAAGAGCTCGGGACATTTGAAAACATTTCTCGACTCATTTTTAAATGGTTCAGTGCGGCTCATCTAGGTCCAGGTGCGACTTATCGCTCTATGGCTCGACAACGGCTGACACCGGTGTCTAACCGATGTTGTTGCCTTGGCCTGGCCTTGTGCCTGCACGGGGACTGCTACTGGCTACTGCCTGCTTAGTGCATTCTGGCACTGGAAGCACACACTTAGCCATTGGGGATAGCTTGGCACGGCCTACTGGCCTTCGAGAAATTGCAGACAGTCTGAAGTCCCGCGCTCGGAAACAGACATCTAGGGCGCGGATCAGGTCACTGGCGCAGGGTCTTGTGGTTCTTAGCGCATCTAGCATGCGGGGACCTCACACAGTAGTACGCGAGTCGCCTACGAGTCTTACACAGACACTGGCCGACTGCGACTACAGTTGTTATCATCCGGATAGCAACGTCCGTTATCGACAACTCCCTCGCATATCTACAATCACTCAAGACCGTCTAAAAATAACTTTAGGCTAGAATGAGTTTAACAAAAACAACAATTTTCTTGCCCAATCTGGGTCCGACGAAATCATCAATTCCTTAAAGGATGTCCGAGTTATGATATATATCATGAGCGATACGGAAATAAATCGAGTAATCTGTTCCGTGTCGGATGAACCAAATCCTCATTGAATTTGATTTTTCCATTCGAAGGGGCTCGCACTGGGCAGCTCGCTTGAGCACTTTCAAGTCCAGGCTCGTCATCTAAAAACTCCATATCTGCCATATCCTGGTGGGAGCAGGCAGCATAAAAATTTTGATCTTCGGGAGACATGTTCGTAACACCAAGAACAAGTAAAGGTCAGTCCAGATATAGATCAAAGGCATCTATAAAACAAAACGCAGTAAAAAACACAACATCACAAAATAACGCAGATGAATATTTCTGTGAAAACTCTGCAAAAATAATGCTAGGGCATTGGGATACCAAATTTCTCAGGTATTTATCACAAAATAACATAGGTTAAAACATAGACAAATCTCGTCTCTTTAATCTCGTTTTATCAAACGACTATAAGGCATTTCCCGGCTATCTTATACTTTTAAAATTACATGAATATTCAGAGCCTCATAACATACCAACGTCAAGAGTCCAACATCAACACACACACACACACACACACACACATATATATATATATATATATAGGGATTGGTTCCAATGCATCCACTTATTTAAAGTGTGGACGTGAGCCTCATTCTTAGCCACAAGATTTAGATCTTGATTTAAATAATAATTCTTTATTTTTATTATTTAATTCCTTATTTTCAATTATTTAAATATTATTATGAACATTGACTGTTGACTCCGGCGTTGGCCGTTGACTTCCAACTTTGGCCGTTGACTTCCGGCATTGACCGTTAACTTTCGGCGTTGACCGTTGACAACTAACCTTTCAACTAGGTTAGTTCTATGTAGTTGCTAGGCTAGTTCTCTGTAGTTGTTAGGTTAGTTGTATGTAGTTGTTAGGTTTTTCTTTTTGTTTTTTCAAACAACGCCCCGGAAGGGCGGGGGATTGGGTTGGATCCCAATCTGTGCATAGATCAAGACCCCAAAATAGGGCCCAAAATAACAACAGTCTACAGTCTACAGAGTCTCAAAAGCAAAACAGAAATAAATAGCAATACAAAGTCTCTCTTTGGGTTAACAGGTACCCGGGAATAAACGCCTAATCTAAAGAAAGCAATAAACCTAGTCTACTGAAAGCGGAACGATGGATATCCAAGCTGGTCCATCCGTACAAGCGTGCGAAGGCGGGGTGGAGCAATGTCGGTCTGAAATATGTGTGGGTGTGGTATGGTGGCGCCAAGGCTGGGAAGGTAGTCAGCAGGTCTGTTCCCCTCACGGAAAATGTGCTTGATCTTGTGATGGACAGACCGAAGTAGAGCTCTAATGCGCATAACCGGGTGCTGAATCTGCCACGGGCCCTGGTGACCCGAAGTCAGGAGGGTGGCGACAGTTGCAGCATCCAGCTCGATCCAAATATGACTAGAAAAGTGGACAACAATCTGAAGGCCAATTTGTAATGCCTGAATCTCTTCGTCGTAGCTCGAGGAGGCATGAAGGGGCGCGTGGAAGGCGGTGATGAGGGCACCGCTGTGGTCCCAGATCAAGCCTCCTCCTCCGGCAGCTCCGGTATGGCGATCAAAAGAGCCATTAGTTTTCAGCTTGACCCAAGGAGAGTCGGGTCGAAGCCAAACAACAGCTCTGGGCCGAGGGGGCCAAACAGGCGGTGAGGAAGCCACCATGTAGCGGTTTGGCGGTGTGCAGCCTGTCCAGTCTCGGGCCGTGAGCCTGCGCAATGCTATGAGGAGTGAAAGATGTCTCTCTACCTGCTAAACAATGTGAGAAAGCAAAAAAGTAATATTCCTATGCTTCGCACTATTCCTCTCCGTCCAGATGAACCAAAGGATCAGACAAGGAATGAGGAAGCTCACGTGTCTAAAGTGTGTGCTCTGTGAGAAAAAACTCAGGAGCTCGAAGAAACTGTTTGTGGTGAGAAGGGATATATGGGTCCAAGAAGCAAAGTGCTCCCACACTCTCCTCGCAATCTCACTCTCTAGAAAAATGTGGGTAAAGGTCTCGGTCTCATAGTGTCTAGTCTCAGAACAACACACACACCGAAAGGGGAAGGAGATCCCCCCTCGCGTGTAACACAGTATCCATGGGTATCCGGAATGGTAGGGGTTAAAAGGTCGCTCCAGATGGTCCCGAAGAGAAGATTAGGCTGATCACTCAGCCTAATCTGCTCCCAAGCTGAGGTAGTAGAAAACACACCCGATGATGTAAGTTTCCACCTCATGCCATCTGAACCGTCCTCCAAGATGGGAATCTGCTGGATCTCATCTAATAAATGCTCGCTAAAACCCGCACCCGAGCCCAACTCCCTATCCAGCTTCCCCCTATCCCACGACCCGTCCGTCCAAAGGTCACTCACAAGCAGGTAGGGGGAATGCATCACCTGCCTATTCCTAGACAACTTCCTATCACCAAACCACCACTCATCCTAGAAACTAACCTCGCCATTGCCCAAAACCCAGAAGATGTGATCCTTGGCGCGCCTACCAACCCTAGTGAGGCGCCGCCAATGTCTGCTATCATGATCAACAACCGTAACCCAACAAGGGTTGTTGGCACGTCTAGGACAGTACTTTCCGCGAAGGTACTGAGCCCAAAGCGACTTTCCCTCCCTGAAGCGCCACCAAAGCTTGTAGGAGAAAGCGGTAACAATATCCCTAAGGCGGCGGATGCCAAGGCCATCCTTAGAGAAAGGGCGGCAAATAGAGTCTCAACTTACCCAGTGGGTACGTCTCCCCCTCCCGGAACCGTCCTCGTAACCCTAGAAATAACGAGCCATAATCTGATCAATCTCATCAAGAGTAGACCTAGGGGGGTCGAGGACCATAAGCAAATGAAGCAAAAGGGAGCTAAGGGTGCTCTTGATCAGCGCAAGCCGACCACCGAAAGAGCGATGTCTATGCGACCAACCATAAATCCTATCGATCATCCTCTTGCCTGACGTCCTCAAAGAGCGCTCTCGTGAGATTGCCCTTATATAAAGGGACGCCAAGGTAGGTAATGGGAAGGTCGCCGCGTGCAAAGCCAGTAATCCCGTGGACCCGATGAGCCCACCTGTCCGCGCTGGAAGAGGAGAGGGTGAAGGTGCTCTTCTGCACACTTATCAGTTGGCCGGTAACCGAGCCATAGTGCTCCAGAAGGTGCACAAACTCGACCAATCCATCATCATCCGCCCGGGTGAAGATGATGATGTCATCCGCATAAGAATGGTGCGAGATAAGAGGACCATAGCCACGGGTGCTGTAGGTCATCGATGGAGAGTCGCGGATGAAGCCGTCAAGGCAGCGAGAGAGGTAGTCCGCCGCAAGAACGAATAGGGAAGGGGAAAGGGCGTCGCCCTATCTAAGGCCTCTAGAGGAGGGAAAGAAGTCGGTGGGGCTGCCAATAACCAGGACCGAGAACGTGCAATGCTCCACACACGCCTCCACAAAACTGATCCAACGCTCAGGAAATCACATCCTAGCCAGCGCCTCCCTCAGAAACTGCCACTCCACCCTATCATACGCCTTAGCCATGTCTAGCTTCAGCGCAATGTTTGGTGCTCGCTTCCAATCCTCACGGGAGATGTCGTGGATCATCTCCTGGGCCAAAAGGATGTTATCACTAATTACCCGATCCTTGACGAAGCCACTCTGGTTCGGGGAGATGAGGGAGGGAAGAAGAGGGGAAAGACGGCCATTAAGAATCTTCGAAATGAGCTTGTTGGTCACGTTACATAGGCTGATGGGCCTGTAGTCGGACCAAGAGCTCGGATTGGGTCTTTTGGGGATCAAGACGACAGAGGTAGACGTGAAGGAATTCGGCATCCGGTGACCGGAGAAAAAATCCAACATTGGCTCCTCGACGTCAGGATCTACTAACTCCCAGGAGACGTGGTAGAAGAGAGAAGAGAAACCATCCGGGTCAGAAATGCTGTTGGGGTCAATCTTGAAAATAACATCCTTAACCTTCTCTTTACTCGGGAGCTCACAGAGGCCAACAAGATTGACCGAATGAGGGATGGTGGGGAAGAAAGATGCGGTTGGGGCAACGAGGGACCCTCTATCAGAGATAAACAGGGTCTGGAAGTGAGCAACAACCGACTCCCGAATTTGAAACTCCTGAATCAGGGATGACCCATCATCCTCGATACAATGGATATACGACATTGCAGACTTTTGCCTAACGCCCTGGAAGAACCTAATGTTCCGCTCGCCCTCGGCCACCCAGCGAACGGCCGCCTTCTGCTTCTAGAAGTCATCCTCCATAAAGAGTCGGAGCTGGTACTAGGCGTGGCAGCGGTGCATCGCAGTCCTATTCTCCGGAGTGGTGTCCAAGTCATAGGCCCGCTCAGCCGCCGCGTGCACACTCTGAGCCGCAGAAAGGCGCTGATGAAGGTTTCCAAAAACATGCCAGTTCCACTGTCTCAACCTATGCCGCAGTCTGCCGAGCTTCGCCTTGAGATTGCACATCCCGAAGAGCCCAGTCGGCTGAAGCCAGGAATCCCTGACAGTGTCTTGGAAGGAGTGGTGGCGAACCCACATATTCTGGAACCTAAAAGAAGAGCGGCGGGGGGTGTTCGAAAATCGACACCGGATGAGAAGGGGTGAATGGTCAGATCCAACTCGAGTAAGGTGTGTGACGGTCGTAACCGCAAACATCCTCGCCCACGCCTCGGAAACCAAGGCACGGTCGAGCCTCTCCTTGAGTCCGTACATCATCCACGTGAAGGGCTCACCATCATATCCAGCGTCAATTAACTCACAGTCCGCCACCGCCTGAGCAAAATCCCACATCTCTCCTGATCGGTCCGAACGGCCACCCGCACGCTCATCGGGATGCAGAAAGATGTTGAAATCGCCACTAACCATCCATGGAAATCCCTCCATACTCTCAGCAATCTCATACAGGGTGTCCCAAAGATCATATCGCCTGACCCTTGCACACTTGGCATAGACCAAGGTGTGGAAGATGGGCTCGGGAAGGTGGGCAGCGGAAAGCTCGACGTGAAGCACCTGATCGGTGTCACAGAGGACCCGACAAGTGTAGTCACGCGAGTGGAAGAACCAGATCTTATGTGAAATGTTACCCACGCCAGAGTGGAAGCCAAGGCGGCGTGAGTAGTAATCAACCGAAGGGGTGCGAATCATCGGCTAAATAAAGCCAACAAAATCAAGTCTATGATCATGAATGAGAGAATGAATGTGAGCGAGAGT